TGACTGTGGCCACAACTTCTGTCGTCCTTGCATCCATCAGTGCTGGGAAGATCTACAGGACGTCTTCCCCTGTCCTGTATGCCTCCACCCCTGCCTTGACAGAAATTTCAGGAGGAACACTCAACTATGTCACATGATTGATATTGTAAAGCAAATTCCTACCACAAAGAGCAAGAGGACCCAAAAGGAGGAGAAACCACTGTGTGGTAAGCACAATGAGGTGCTATCCCTGTTCTGTGAAAAAGACCTGGAGCTGCTGTGTTCCCAGTGCAGTATCTCCTCCCACCACTCAGATCACCACTTGATGACCATCGAGGAAGCTGCAACTAATCATAGGCAAAAGCTCAAAAGCTACATTAAGACTCTGAAGAAACAAGTTGAAGATGCTGAAAAGGGATCAGAAATGCAAGCTTCAAAGTCATTTAAGTTGTGGAGGAAGGTGGAAAATAAGAAAAGGGAACTGAACTTTGAATACGAACAACTTAAACGGTTACTGGGTAAAGAGCAAGATGCCATTTTTTTGAAATTACTTATGGAAGAGAAGGATATTAATGAAAAACTGATTGAAAACCAAATCTTACTTTCAGATCATATTTCCACTCTGAAAAACCTTCTAAGTGAAATAACAGAGAAATGTGTGCAGGCTGACCTGGAGTTACTGACAGATATTGACAGCATCCACAACAGATACAAGAACCTAAAAACACCAGTAGTGTTTTCATATGAATTAAAGGAAGAGCATTGGTGCCTCCCTCCACAACACTTTGGCCTGCAGAAAATGATCAACATTTTTAAGGTAGATTTGACACTTGATCTTGACAGGGCTTTCCCCAATCTCATCATATCAGAAGACAGAAAAAGTGTGAAATATGGAAAGATGAAAATGAATTTACCCTACAATCCCAAGAGATTTACTGGTTATCCAGCTGTACTGAGTTCTGAAGGATTTACAGTTGGCAGGCATTTCTGGCAGGTTGAAGTAAGAGGCACAGGTGAATGGGCTGTAGGTGTGTGTAAAGACTCCTTTCCCCCAAATGCAACTGTGTCGTCATCAGCAAAGGATGGATGCTGGCAAATTCAGCACTGGACTGATACATGTGGTACAAATGATAGAGTAAAACTCATGCAGATAGGTATTTTTCTGGATTATGACTTGGGAGAGGTTTCATTTTATAATATGAATAATAGATCTCATATTTATACATTCACTGATACTTTTACAGAAAAACTTTGGGCTTATTTCTCCACTGGACATAGTTCAAACACTCTCACAATCTGTGAAGTCA